GAGGGTTATTTCAACACAGAGTTCAGGGCACTTACCTTTTGTACATCTAGCTTATTTTGGCATTCTCCTAGCTAAATAGATTGGCCTTTTAGGAATAGTGTCGGTTCGACTCAAAGCCCTCGACGAGGGCTAAAACATGACCGCGAGTGAAAATCTCTTTATTTGAGCTATATAACGAAACAAATTCTTGCCGAATTACCCCCTTGATATTTTGTGAGGTGGTAGAAGAAACTCGGCATATATATGTAAAAAATCTCGGCATATGCTGGAAAAATCTGCAAATGGGTCAAAATTGACCAGTTGTATTTCCCTATATAATCTTTGTATTTTATTGGAAAAACAGAGGGTCATTTCAACGTGGATTTTAGGGTACTTAAACTCAGTATATCTGGCTAATTTTTTTAATGCTCCTAGGTAAATGGCTTGGCCTTTAAAACTGTCGGTTTGACTCGAAGCCCTCGACAGGGCTAAAACATAACCGCGAGTGAAAATCTCCTTATTTGAGCTATATAACGAAAAAAATTCTTGCATAACGACCCCATGATATTTTGTGAGGTGGTAGGAGAACATCTAGGAATGTCACCAAAAACTCGCCACAACCGGGAAAAACAGAGGGTAATTTCAACATATAATAGAGACAGAAATCGTGTGGTGTATGGATATTGCTGTACATATGTAGGCAGATGAAAATAATGTGTTAGTGTTTTATAAAGAGAAGCCGCAATCATTTTAGGCGTGTTTTAGGCACTTTCAAATCAAACGTTGCTGGTTTGTTTTTTATGTTTGCTACAGTAATCAGGGATACAGTCCTGATGTCCACTCTATCTGCCAAAAGAAACATCACAGTCCCTACGATTAACTATTTCACATCATTTTCATCACACCATTACCGTCTCGTAGACTAGCGCCACTGCAATATTTCCCTGCCTCCAGGGGTAGAAAAGAGGGCAGATCAGGCTGATTGTAGAGTTTATTATGGAATATGGCGTTTTAGTAACATTTGATTGATACAACACTTAAAGGCTTATTTGATATATGTTGATTTCATAAATAAGTAAGTAATATAGTAGTGTACAACATTAATAGCGGCAGAAATAAAGGGAATATTCAAATAAACACGTGAAAGATAAAAAAAAACAAAGGAAGTACTTCTGTATGCTTGCTCTGTCCAAAGATTTTATCGGTTATTTCCCTTATGTTACTCGAGATATTAAAATACATAGATTGCATGAATGATTTTTTTTTCTTCCTCCAACCTGTAATGTTCTGTGTCTTTATGCCCTGCAAATTATTCGCTTTTATTTTACTATTGTCGACATCGGTTTGTGAAGACTGACAAATATTTGCAATAATACGATTTCTTTATGACGTGTTTGTTTTTCTTCCGCAATCATTTTTGTATTCATACATTAGATCATCTAGGATTTCTTTCATCCAACTAGAAATGTGAATCTATTTGTTTATTAATGAATGAGTACTTTCATTAAAACGGCCAAATAGTAGGAGACAAAACTCAGCTGCTATCTGTTCTCTAACTTTATACTATGTTTCAGACGTGTCGGTTATACATAGGTAAATAATACAACTAAACTACATATTTTAGAGATGCTAATCCTAACTCTAACCCTTACAGCCAGACCACCTCAATTAAATAAACTAGCCAACATATTGGATCGTCCTGATGTAAAAATAAAAAATAAAAAAAAAACTAACAGATATTTTATTGTATTTTCTTTTTTTTTTAGGTGGGGGTCCAAGTCAGTTACAGGTTTAACACGCAACTCTGAACTATTAGCTTTGTGTGTTTATATTTAGCTGTTAATAGGGTTAGTTATATAGCAAATAGAGCCCTAGTCCACTGTACATGCTGTCCAATCTACGGACCATATTTGCTAAGATAGTATCTGTAGAACTCGTGGTGAAAACACATTGCTTAAAAAAATATTTTTTTGATACGGATTTGATACGGAAAAACATAACTTTGCAATATTGTCCGTATGTCTGTGTGTCTGTGTGTGTGTGTGTCTGTGTGTGTGTGTGTAAACACGATTACTTGAGTACCGTTACAGCTAGGTTGATGAAATTTCATATATAAGTATTTTATCAAAATCGTAGATCCGTATCAACTTTTGAGCGATTTCCGATAACCGGAAGTGGTACTTTTTCTACTTTGAATTTTTCAAAAGCCTATAACTTGAGTACTTTTTGAGATAGTTAAAGAAATTTCACATGTAAGTAAAAGATCTAATTCTCTACCTTCTGTTAAATTTTGAGTAATTTCCGTTGACGGGAAGTACTAATTTACGCTATTTCCGATTTCTCAAAAACGCATCTAAATTTATAAAGTACTAATAATATTGCGCACCATTATGAACATCTTTATACGGCGTTCGCTTGGTGTGCAATACCTTTTTCTATGAGATTCTATTTTATTTTAAAAAGTTTATGTATTTAAAATGGATTAAAAATCATAACTACATCCCGAGTTTCCATCCCCTGTTGTTTTATATAAGAATATTAGAGAAAGTTTAGGGGAGATCACTCCCGGTTTATTTTTACAAATGGAGCCCATACTCTGTACAAATCCTGTATAATATGTTCACATCTTTAGAGTGAAAAGAAATAGCTATAAATGTAAATCTATAACAGTCCTTTATGTCGAATAACGAGCATAGTAAATCACCAGGGGAATAATTCGGGACAATGATAATATTTACAAATAGATATTTAATTGGACATTGTATTAATTCCCAAACACCGGGCAGCGCAGGGTATATTATGCTTACTAAGCACATGATCACGTCCCTTTTATAAATAACTTGTATATCCAATGCTAGTGCTGATACATAAATATATTTATTATAAAAGTAGCGGTCTTTAAGTATTTATACTTATAAATGTTAACAGTATGCATAATATAAATTTTTAAAAATATATACAACTCGTTACAAACTAGATAAATGAATATAAAGTCAAATCTTGACTTTTATAGTTGTTCGTGTTTACTGTTCACGTAGATACAGCCAGCCGTAGAGCGCGTTTAGCTACAACATATTGACTTCTGTATAAACTAAAATTGAAAGAAAATAAAAATAAAGGCATGTTCGAATGTAGAAACATAATTTAAAGTGTGCAGCTGGAAAAAGTAATGTTTATAGTAGTGAAAAGATCGCATAAAACTATGACGTCAAATGTCACATGTCTAAACAACAGACTGTAAACAATACTAATGACATCATCTTCCAATTTTAGAATACGAAAAAAGAACAATTTCATTCAAGTTTGATTGAGATCTATAGATCTACTTATAAGGACGTACGCTATGAAATATATACAATTTTATCTGCTACCAAAAATACAAATAACTTTTAAAAAAACATTGAAAAGCCGGTTTTTTAACAGAATCATTTAAATATCTTAACCAGTACTTGCATTTAATATGGTGTTGTGTTGTCTAATACAGTATATAATTTGGTTTAATCTTTTATTCTTAATCTATGCTTATTCTTAGCCTATGTTATTTAAGTGCGCCATATTTTTAGCTATTTAGTTAATTCATTGCTTTGTCACTAGTATCAATCAACGTGTAATTAAGCACATAGCGTTTTGACCAACAACTATTTTATAAAATATTTTTCTCAAATAGTGATACAAATAAAATATATAGTCATATAATTCACATGGGACGTGTACCGAGGGCTAGTTTAGAATAATACACAACGTTGGCAGAAAACACAAAATAAGCCTAATTATCATATGTTTATGATGAGTTTTTTTATCATATAAATTAGGCACCATCAACTCTACCTTCAGTTATTATTATGCGACTTTACTTTCTAAAACCTATTCAACTGTGACTATTATACTAAGCTTTGACTGCAGTCCACCTTGACATAAATCTACTACTGCTTCATCCATCGATATTAATACTCGACTATAGATAAACATCTTTACTATTAACTGTTAACCCTATAAAGCTAAAACATATAAACATATATATATATATATATATATATATATATATATATATATATATATATATATATATATATATATATATATATATATATATGTGTATATTATCCATTGTTAAAAATATTCATAATTATAACGTATTTTTTATTCTTGTGATTCTATTATTTATTTTCTATTTAATATACAATCTATAAAACAATTTCCCCCATTTTTCAATATCACCTATCAAAATAAATTGTATAGTCCTTAGCTTGTTGATGCCTATTTATTGTTTACACGTTGTTTAAATATATAGTACTGTTTTTTTTTCAAATGAAGTTTTAGAAGACGGAACTTCCTTTTTTATTTTTATTTTCCACCATTGGGTCGTGCGTTTTCGCGGCGTCCTGTCGATGCCTGGTTGTCGGTTGTCTAGATGTCTGGTTACCCTCAAATCAAACTCCTCCTGTTTTTTTCCGTTGGTCGGAAATAACGCAGCTCCGCCAGTAAGTGAGAGGTTGTTTCTGGGATTTGTTGAATCGAACTCCTCATCTTCACTCCCTTATATACTGACCTTCACCCATCAATTTCACCAACTCCCTTGAGCATGTACTTCACAACAATCTACAATCGTCCGGTTCGACCAATGACGAAGCATTGAGCATAAGGCACGATAGATTGAGAAAGTAGGATAAATAAAAGCTTGCAATGATCTGTATCGTCAAAGGACTTTTGCCAGAATTAAGCAGACTTTTTAAAACTGTGCTATTTTTGTGACCATAAAAATGAAATTCCGTTTCAAATAGAAGTTTTTGTAATTCTATACCATCATATTTTATCGTTATCATTACGCAAAAATATATTTCCAATCATACGCAGTCTAAATTGTTTCTATAAGTATTATTTAGACATTTGAAAGAGAAATTATGAGGTAGTGTCAGATTTCTTTTACAAAACATTAGGTTACCTAGGAGCAGTTAAAACACATATAAGAAAAAAAAACCTATGATAATTTTTGAGTTAAATATATTTAATTTGAATCAAGTCACAAGAGTCCGTGTTCAAGTTTCTAGGGACATTTGAGAGCAGCGGTACAGGTAGATTCACACGTGCACAGCTGGTCGTTAATAGAGACCACACCCCCAATAGCCAGATCCTGTAAGGTACAGAGACATGCGTGTAAGAAATGGTGAGATTTTTGTGTACAAAGTAAAATTCGACATTGTGAGATTCTACATAGATGATACATTTTGAATTGTAAGATTTCATGTACACAGTAACGTTTAACATTGTGATATTTTATGTAGATAGTAAAGTTCGAAATGTGAGATTTTATGTAGGAAGTAAAGTTTCACATGTAAAAATTCAATTTCAGATTTTATTTAGATAGTAAAGTTTAAAATTTTCAGATTTTATGTAAGCAATAAAGTTTGATATTTTGGATGGGAGATTTTATATCGACGATAAAGTTTGACAGTTACGAGATTTTATGGAAAGAGTTTGTTATAAGATTTCACGCGGACAGTAAATCTGACATTTTATAAGAATAAAGGACACATAATGCCTAAATAAATGTTTAACATTTTATAATATTTTGAAAGAATAGAGACATTATATAGATAGTAACTGTTAAACTTTAAACAAATAAATTAAAAACACCATGTTGATTACGTGCTGAAACAGATAATACACTAATGATGTACGCCTTGCTCAAAAAGCATACAATCTTAATTGAACTAGATAATTTCAGCGTGTAAGACTCAAGTGTTCATAATTACGCTCAGCAAGCGTTCGATGTTGAAACTATGCTTATAAGAAAAAAAAAACAATTGTTGTAATGTATTTTTTCTAATGCCATAAAAATTTCCTGTAAGAAAATCTCCCCCGAACAAGATGGAAGCTAAAAGCGATTCGCCCTGCTAATAATTTCCATTTAATCGATTTAAGAAAGAAATAATAACATTTTATTACAAAGTTAGTTATCTTTTAAATATTTAGGAGAAATTGAATGACGCTTTTCTCAACCGCTTAATTAAAAAAAAAATCCCACTTTTTAGAACGTTATAAAAATAATATTTTAATATACATGTGCTCTATATTTGCCAATTCCTATATTTGTTACAAGAAAATTAAAAGAATAAAGAGCTGTTAATTAAACTAATTTATTTTTAAAAGGTCGTATATTCTTGTCGTTTAGTATAGCCTACACATACAGATAAAAATGTTACTCACGACAGTCTCTTCTGACCAATCTCTGTAGGTACAAACCACCTCACCACTAACTGCATACACCGTCAAGGTCAACAACACAGCGGCCAGGATAATCAATTTCTATTGAAAATGTTGGTTGAAAACCACTTTGAAATAATTGTAAGCCACATATATCGCTCGAAATGACGCGTATATATATATATATATATATATATATATATATATATATATATATATATATATATATATATATATATATATATATATACATATGGTCTTAGTATAGCTTACCATATGCCCCATTTTCGACCACAACATTTGGTTCTAGTGTCCACCTAATACTAACATTAATTGAATACGTGCTTGCTGTTATATACATAATAGATAATCTATTCTAATAAAGCAATTAGCATTTAGCGGCATACATTATTCAATACACTTGATATTAGAATTGATAAAATACATGCAACAGGTATGGGTGTGTTGAAATACATTTATGCCATAGTGAAATTGTTGTGCTGATTGCCGCTTATTCATACCACCAAGTGTAAGCAGTTGTGGTGTTGACCGTGCAATCATCCAACACCTTGAAATTTAGTGTAGTCGTTATGTCTTTATCAGCCCTAAACGTCACTAACTAATCATTTTTGTGGTAAAACCACATCGTCTTCTACATCTTCAAATAGCAAGGAAAAACGAACTCGACTCAACCAACTCATTACAATTTGATGTCCATTTTCTTCAAACGTTTTCTTTTTTAACCTTCGGCCTGAATACAATTAAAACAGCATTATATTAAAAGAATAGCTAGAAATACACATTTCAACAAACAGAACGAGGGATGAACATCTGGTTTAGATAACTTTAAAAGTACGTATGTTTATTTGAAAAAATAAATAAATCAGCATACATTATTTTATAACATACCAGCATTTGATATAGTTTGTAATTATAATTTATTTTTTCCCATCTCAGTTAAACTTTTATCTTTGTGCAGTAGGAATACATTTCCCTATCGTGGATATGAACTCCATAAATTAAAAACTTTTTTTTTTAAGTAAAAGACAATGTAATAATTTTGAACTTTAAGACAAGTAAAGAGAATTAAAATTTTGTTTTAGGTAGACATGACATCTATTCATCCCTCCAAGTCCAAGTAAAAATAAGCAACAAGTAATATGCAATATGTCATTTTACTCATATTTGCAAGATATTTGGATACATTATTATCCTTTGTCAACAGATTTAAAGATTTTAAATTAAATTAGATCTAAAGATATCAGAAATGCAAATTGAAAAATAGTCAATGTCTAATCAACTCAAGCTTTAGTATTAAGAAATAATTAGAGACAAAAATAATATTCTAAAATAAAAACTCTTTCAAACAAATTTATCATTTATTCTTTTTTAGAAATTAGAAAATTTTAATCATATTTACCCATGTGTAATGAAGTTTACATTTAACTATCTAAAATATCTGAAATGTGTTTATAGCAAAGTCATAAGTAAAATATTTTAATCTTTACACCATCTGATTTCACATCATCTTTATATCTAGCATATTATTTTGCTACTTTAAAATAACTTAAAATAACAAAGAGAAGTAGTCTACTTAGATCCCCATGTTATATATTTATCTCTAACTCAAAAAAAAATTATATAAAATATAGCTTGTGTATAAAATATAGCTTATTATATTACAAAATAGCTTAAAATATTTCAAAATAGTTTATGATATTACAAAATAGTTTTAGATATTATGAATTAGCTTCAAGATATTACAAAACAACTTCAAAAATTAAAACAAAGTAGCGTAAGATTTAACAAAATAGCTTAAATTATGACACAGCGTCTTAAGATGTAATACGAAATGGTTTAGCTCATATATATTAAACAGAAATATTGCAAACATTGTGCAATTACAAAATATTCGCAAATCTCAAAATAAGTATTTCTAATTTCTGCACTATTTTCTTCCGCGGATAATCCTACACATTCTCATCTGGAGGTCAGTGAAGATTCTCGTCGCGTCAGACGGTGATAAAGATGACGAAGATGAAGAAGAAGGAGCCGCCTAGGACAACGGCCGTGAAAACTTTGTTCTCCGCGATGCTTTTTTCCCGTCTGCTCTTGCTGTTTTTTTTTTAATTTGTTCGTTTTATTACATTTGTTTAATAACCATTCAACGGTCAAAGGGGAACAACAGTGAAAAGTACAACATAACGAGAGGTTGCTTAGTTAAGTCCCCTACGTTTTTTTTTCATTCTTTAGTTCTTTTTACTTTTTTTGTATATACGAAGTAGGCCTATAGAGAAAGTCTTGTAATCGTGCAGAATTTCTTTTTTTCAAATCTCTACGTTTTACAGCTCCCTGAGTCGTAAAAAACATAGCTTTGCAATCTTGTCCGTATGTCTGTGTGTGTATGTGTGTATGTGTGTGTGTGTGTGCGCACGTGTGTGTAAACACGATAACTTGAGTACCGTTACAGCTAGGTTGATGACATTTCATAAATAAGTATTATATCAAATCGTAGATCCGTAGCATCTTTTGAGCGATTTCCGATAACCGGAAGTGGAACTTTTTCTACTGAATTTTTCAAAAGCCTATAACTTGAGTACTATTTTAGATAGATAAATGAAATTTCACATGTAAGTAAAAGATATAATTCTCTGCCTTCTGTCAAATTTTGAGTAATTTCCGTTGACCAAAAGTAATGATTTTCGCTATTTCGGATTTCTCAAAAAACGCATAAAGTACTAATAATATTCCGCAATATTATGCATTTTTTTGGCGTTCACTTGTGTGCAATTCTTTTTTTCTAAGAGATTTTATGCTATTTTAAAAAGTGTAAGTATTTAAAAAGTATTAAAAATTATGTCTATATCCCGAGTTGATATCCCCTTGATATCGAGAACGTTTAGGGGAGATCACTCCCGGTTTTTTAAAAAATAATTTTGATTTTCAATAATATTTGATTTAAAAAAAAAGATTTATATTTCTGTAGGACAACTTAACCGTTTTTGAATAAAAATAATTTATTTTGTTCCTTTTGTTCATTTAAACGCTTGTTAACAAAACAATTTTTTTAATTGTTACTTCCTCGTGTATGGAGTTTAGTACATGTACGGTAATTTTGCATAAACTAGAAATCGTGATTTTCGATATGTTAAAAAATCTCGACGTTTTAGACATTTCAGAGTCCCAAAAAACTTAATTTTAAAAATTGTGTCCGTATGTTTGTGTATATGTGCGTGTCTGTCTGTTAGATGAAACTTTGCTTATATGTGCCATACACAAGTACGTGTAGGTTTTTATCCGGTTTTGAACAATTTCCAGTATTTAACTGTATTTTGTTGAAATAAGAAATGTTGAGTACTATTTTAATTAGGAACACATAATTTCATATAATAGTATATCTTTTAAGTAACCTCCGATAACCGAAAATGGTACGTAACTATATTTCTGGTTTCTAAAATACCGATAAAGTGAGTACCGTTTCAGTTATTGAGACCAAATTTTATAAGATCGCTCTGCCGCTACCTACGTGTAAATAAACAGGTAATGAAGTTTCAAAACGTCGACTTCAGTACGGTACGGTACGGTACGGAACGGAACGGAACAAAACGGAACAGAACGGAACAGAACGGAACAGAACGGAACGGAACAGAACGGAACAGAACAGAACAGAACAGAACAGAACAGAACAGAACAGAACAGAACAGAACAGAACAGAACAGAACAGAACAGAACAGAGCAGCACACGGTGTCTTCTACTTGGCATTGCCTCAAATTTGACCAGCCTTTAAATCTTCACAAATACCTATCAATAATTTTGAAATAAAATAAATTAAGACGGAACTAATAACAGATAACAAACAGAATCCAGACTTTTCCTCAATAACGTCCAATCCGGATATTTTTAATTCAAGAGTATTATAAACTGTGGGAGTTGTACGGAGAAAGTTCGGTAGAAACAGAGGCGTAGCGAGGGGGGGGGGGGCGGAGAGTGCGGATCGCACCGGGTGACACCATTTAGGGGGGTGACACCAAGGCAAAAAATAGCAAAATATATAGAGAAAAACTTGAGGGGGGGGGTGCTAATCGAAAGTTTGAAGGGGGGGGGGGGGGTGAAAATCGAAAGTTTTAGTGGGGGGGGGGGGTCGCTACTCCTCTGGGGGGTGACACCATTAAGTGCCGCACCGGGTGACACCCGACCTCGCTACGCCACTGGGTAGAAATGCAGAGTATAGAAAGAAAATAGTAACAAAATGACTAAAAAAACAAACAAATATTACCATTGCAGCCCAAAAAGTAGAGCCCCTCCTCCCCCCCCCCCCCTTCCATGAGGGCTAGAGACTCAGTGGGCTGTACGAAGCTGTAAAAGTAAGTCAGATTTGGGAAAGATAGAAAATAGAAAACGCGAAGAATAGTCGCAGAGAACTCAACAGCAAGATTATGATGGTGATTTTTACCGTTAAAAGCTTTTTAATTTTGACAAAAGAAAATTTAAAAAGCAATAATAAAAGAAAATTCCAAAATATTAAGACTTTTATAATAATAAGCTCTCTAAAAAAATAAAATAAAATGAATTAGCTTTTGGTTTTTTACAGCATTGGTCTCTCATAAAGTTCCTTACACATTTGTTGTCACTGCGTCAAAAAGCTTATTATTAAAAACAAAATTAAAATTATTTATATTATTTTCTGCTCTCTATTTATGCATTCTTCAAGAAGTTAACGACTAATAATATTGCTTTAAAATCCGATCAAAGCTAGCAATTTTTTTTAAAACGATTATCTACCCTTTCTTTGTCCGTTGTCAGTCATGAAACTAACTAGTGTCATGTGTGTGTGTGTAGGGGGGGAGGAATTAATGTTTCTGGAAGTTCCAAAAAAATGCTGCATTAAAAAGGAGTTAAAATTTAGCTACAAGATGCATCACAAACCCTCACCAAAAAACAACAATAACAAAAAACAAGCAAGTACATAAACACACGCACAAACGAAAAAACATAGTTAACTATATAAAAGCTGATAAAAATACATCCGATGGCGTTCACGTCCAATGGATTTTAATCTGCTGATCTCTTAATCCTAATGGACATTTGCATCCTCTTCCACAGATCTTCAGTATTTCTGGCCAAGTAAGATAAGCTTTATTATAGCTGTTATATTGCAAACAGGTTTAAAAAATCAACCTTAATTAGTGAGAATAACAGGCTCTTTAAAAGGTAATTAGGAATGAAATTCCCGGTAATTAACGCCTTTTAGTACAAGATCCCGATAATTAGAATTGAAATTAAGTTTCCGCAATTAATTAGCAGATTGTTTTTCTATTTTAAACTTTTGATGAATGATTATTTCATTTTATTTTTAGTCATGCCAGATTTAGTAAATTTACACCAAACATTGAACCAAACGCTGAATGAATAGTCTGGATATAAAAACAAGATGCTTGTTAACATTCATGAACATTGAAACCATATAGTTTGTAGTTGTTTTTTTTAAAGAAAAAAAAGAAAAAGAAATGTTTTTAAAAATCTACAACATATACTTTTAAGACTTCGTGAGTTAGACTAATTTTGTTTAAAAGGCCTTTCCGTTGAAACCAATTTTTACTACTGTATTATGACCAATTTAATACTTGTATGACTCTGTTGCTCGACGATTTGATACGGTCCATCCAGAATCTGGCTTACTGGTAGCCTACCAATTAGTTTGCTTAGTGTAAACAATATCGAACATCAAAATCTGCTGTTAGGGTTTCCGAAAAGCGTATTACACTAGTGACAATTGATTTGTTTTAGTCCATATATTTTCTGTATGATTACCAATTGGAAAAATAAAACACACCAACACGCAAGTCATATACACTTATTCAAACCCGCACACCTACAGACCCACACACCCATATTCCACACAGTCGACCCTCAAGCAAAACCCATACACATCCACACACACCCTCCACACCTATCCTAGCACCTACGACTTCCACGCAGCGACACGCTAAAACACATATGCATTGGTTTTGGACTCATCTGATATCAGGATTACGTGTTTGCCACACTTACTAGTGCGCCACAATTAGTTGTTAGCACATTGTGTGTTATGGGCTGGTTTTGTTTGCACTTTTTCGACATAAACCTAATTTACCATAACAAAAACTGTAAAATAACACATACTCTGCAACTCACACTCAATATATGACATCTTGTTCTATGAACTTTTTTTGACCGTGAAATCTACTTTTACTCCAATGGTCTAGTGTAGGGGTCTCCATATTTTTCAGTCCGAGGGCCGCATTAACTATCATATAGGAGTACGGGGGCCGAGAACACATTCGAAGTCCAAATAAAAAAAAATCAAAATATGGATGCTGGTTTTAATAATTCTTAAAGTGGGTTACTATGTAAGAACACATTGATACACTTCACATTAAAACACTACACATTGATGCATTACACATGAACACCTGTATTAATGGGAATGGTGAAATTGTCTCCTATATGCCAGAATAGAAGACATTTTAGGCTTTAGCTTTGATGTCCGCAACATCAGTGACCTGAGATAATTATTGTACAAGTTTGGCAGGATACACGTAAATTTCTGTTATTTTTTTCCGTAAGCAAAAAGTTTTCCACGGGCCGGTGAGAGGGCCTTGCGGGCCCCAACTGGCCTGCGGGCCGTAGTTGGGAGACCCTTGGTCTAGTATAAAATATGCATACAAAAACCATGACAGTGTATTGGTTTTGTTTATTGGGGTACTCATTCTATACCCCCCCTTGGCTGTAATCATATGTGTTACACCTGTTTCAAAAGCTATGATTCTGGCGGCATGGTACTTTGGTACCTCATTATGCGTTTTCCCAAATGTACTTAAAAGATCAGTTCGGGTTAGTTGGGGGGGGGGGAGTGGGGGGGGGGGGGTTCAACTTTATTCACAACTGTCCGGTCACTTTAGGTCAATTATTCTATACAGCGTATACCTAGGTGTGTCATTAATGTCGCTCTAGATAATCGTGGTGGTGAGGTTGGAGGGGGGAGGGCGACCAACTCAGAGTGAACATAGCGTCAGTTTTTAGGTTACTGTTCTAAACATACATATACAATTAAACATATATACTGATTCAGAAATACATTTAAATAAGTAACAGTGGTATTACGGTAATATTTTTTAGAGAGGGGGGTGGGGGTTGTAACCCCCTTAACCTCCCCTGTTTTCCTTGCTTAGAATTGTGCTGACTAACAAAATGCTAAATTGAAATTTATTAAGATTGTCTACTTGGTAAATTATATTATAATGTTAACAATTTTTTCGGGCGAACGTCCTTCGGGCATTTGGCTTTCCGGAATTCGTCGAATTCGGACAAAAAACGTTCGGCTTGACAGCGTGCTGTACCATACAACTGTTAACCTGAAAATCTTGAGTTCCAATTCGGGTTTCAATGCGTAGGATGTCGCTTTGCCCGCACAACTCTGAAGGGTAACTAACTCACGTTAGGGAATGTAAAGACTAACGGGCTTAAGTGCGGACCACACTATCGATTCATATGCCGATTTAACAGAAACAGGTGAACTCTACGTCACTTGCTCCATAAGCAGTCAGGTTCGAAAGGGAAAACTGCATTAGGACGACGGTACCGGTGACGGCGACAGTAACGACGACTGTAACGATGACGGTAAAATGGACGGTAACAGGAACGACAACGGTAACGATAACGGTAAGGATAAAGGTAATGATAGGATATAATAAAAAAATATGGATATTATAGCGAAGATTAAGGAAAATGCACAAGGTTTTGATTAGCAACGGCTTAACCCCGGCAGTGTGCGATTAGACGCCCGGCCTATCCTGTTGACGCTATGGTGCATACGTTCGTTTTAAAAAGTGCGATAGGCTGTTGATGCTTTGGGTTAATATAGCCGTTCACTAAATTGAATCAGGCGGGCCGTGAGCACTATGGCACATACGTTCGTAATAAACAGTAAGATAGAATATGGATAATATGTAGCATTATAGTCTTTTTTAAAATCGAATCAGGCGGGTCCGCAAGCAGCATGCTGCAAGCAGCGCCCCTGTGGAAGTGTAAACGGTGGGCTCCCGAGAGCGCCCCTCTACGTCCTTGACACCTGGGCTGACCGTGTTATACCTCACTAATACGGTGAGTGATTAACGTACACTCAAGACTTTCATACAGCAAGCCTTGAGGCGCGGAAGCGGTAATGTGGGTATATAATATCATATATATATATATATATATATATATATATATATATATATATATATATATATATATATATATATATATATATATATATATATATATATATATATATATATATATGTGTGTTTTTTTTACTTTACAAGTAAGTAATTAATTGAGTACAACGCTCTATGACCCCTTTCAAATAACCCTTACCCTGAAACGCCCACATTCACTACAGACATATAAGCACAGCAAATTTAAAAGTGGATCTAGTGTACTTACGTGATGAATTCAATAATAAGGCTGCACTAACTGGCTTTGCTAAATACACTTTGCATATTGACACACGCAACCTGCCATTTTCTGTCAACTTCCTCTTACTTGAAATTTTATCACCAGTCATCTTCAGCATCTAGCTTTTTGTTAGTCGTAGCTTTAGCTGTTGGCATTTACGTCATATATAGTAGCATCATAAATATATCTTATTTACTGTTTTCATTCCAAATTTATTGTTAAAAGAATGATATGATGTAAAAAAGATCAAAACCAATCATGAATCTTCCTTTTTTTGAAAATGTTTACATAAAAGCTGTTCTTATTTTTATAATCTCCGGATCTTTACCTGCTCTTATTCATGCTTCAAATTTTTCCAATTATGAAACAGTAAGTATGTACATTTAAAAGAAAAATTTATTAACATAGACATTCAACCAACATTGCATGTTAAAATTGTTTTCACGTAGGACTAGTTTAGACAAAATTCACCTTAAAAATTTAAGTTGGTAAGGCTTAGGATTACATAAGCATACAATTATTTAAAGGTTTTTACAAAGTCATTTGTTTACAATTTAAAAAAAAAAGCTGAAATGACGAAACAAAGCGCACAGTTACAAATACTCGAAAACGCTTAAACAAATACATTTTCAGATCTTTAATTATTTTCTTTTGGTGAACGGCGCCAACATAAAAGTTAAAATTAATTGAATAAAACATGATATCAATTCAGGAGTTTTATTTTGGTGATTAATTGTAAAAGTTGTGATACTTTTATAAAGAGTCAGATGCAGCATAGATTTCAGGTAGGAACGACAACATTGCGACGCCCTTCCAACTCGTAAACTGAGTGGAATATGGTTTTTAGAAAAATTAAGAAATTTTCGATAAATATTTTAATTAAACTGAAAATATCTTAGACTTTATTAGCATTTTAAATATTTTAAAACTATAATTTACAATCATCGTATGCAAGTGAATTAATAACCAAGAGATTTTGACTTTTCAAAATCTGACATGTGTCAGACAAGAAGCAAGGGCTTACCAGTTTCTGACTCGATTGTAGCATCTATGTCTTTGTCATCAGGCGCAAATGCTTATACTCGCTCCTCAAGCGTGTTATCATCGGGATCTATTAAATGTAAACCCTTAACACCGATTGATATTTAAATTTTAATGGCCTAATCTTTCTTTATGTTAATTCTTTATCTAAATTTAATCTATATTTTACACTACAAACTAACGATTCGCAGATCTTATGCAAGGTAAAAAGCTCTGTAAATCTTGAAACATGCATCAACATAAAAAACGCGAATGGCACAGCCAATATGAAGGAAAGAAACGGAAGCATATTTGTATATGAAGGCACACAGTGTGCGTCACGTATCGGCTCTCACAGCTACACATTATTTCAGTGTGTCAAAGGACGGTGGGTTATGGGTATGTTAACATACTACTTATGTAGCCGTTAATAACGTAAATTCTATCATGAAAAAAAAAATACCAACCATTTCTTATTTTCTTTACAGACGATATACCTACACTTTTAGAAACTAAAGCACTTAAGAAACTAACAGTCATTTAGTTTTTAATTTGAAAAAAATATTGCTCTTATTTATCATTACAGATCAATACATAACAGCTAAGACTGTGCACAGATCAAAACGATTCGTAGAAGAATGTTATGAGTTCCCCTGTGGTAAGATGTTTATACATCGCTTATATGTAATTGAATAGTTTATATATTACCTGATTACTAGTGCTAAGATATTGGCATAATTTCTCCTTGATATAAAAGGAGAGCTACTAACTGCATGTACTCTCCGCTACAGTTTATTTTCAGTACTTTTTATTTTCATGGCATTTCAGACCGACCTAAACGTCGAAACAGAGTTCCGTCGATTACTTGCCCATATGTATCAACTAAATACGCAGGCGGGGGTGATTCGTCGGTGAGAGTATGGTGGAACGAACCTCGGGTTGCTGAGATTGATATGGGCAGTGTCGAGTATGTCGTCTTGATGTGTTTCTACGTATATGTTTAAAAATATTGAAAGTAATTAAAAGATTATATAGACTCCACAATCTCGTTTTATATCGAAGTAAAAAAAAATTATAGCATAGCTTTAATCAATTTAATCGACGAACTGATGTCTGAACTGGGAACTTTGCTTGATTTAGAATTTGGGATTCTTTTAATTAACTCGAAACTTTTGAAAATGAGTTAACATTTGCGTTTATAAACAAAATAATTCTACAGAGTTAAATAATCGTGAAACTTTTAAAAAAATATTTGAGCTACATATAATCTATATTTAATATATTTTATTGAAGTTTAAAAAAAATGTTTTATACATTTTTAACGAAATTACTAATTACAACTTATCGCAAATCTTTTAGTATTCAATTAATTGAGGGCGGACAACCAGGTACTTGGTTCGACGAAGGTAGCCACACAATTGTCTACATGGCAAAGGACAGCAGTGGGGAATATGCGACATGCAGCTTTACTTTCAACGTTATAGGTAACAATATTTACTTATATATATATATATATATATATATATATATATATATATATATATATATATATATATATATATATATATATATATATATATATATGTGTGTGTGTGTGTGTGTGTATGTGTGTGCATGATAGAATGTCTAGTTTTCTCTAGTCCGAAGATGCCCATACGAGAACACATACATTGATGGAGGTTCCGCCACATGCCAGCCTTATCAGCAAAATATTTACGGAGCTGAATGTGAATATCGCTGTCATGAAGGATACGAACTTTCAGGAGCTACGAGAGCACAGTGTGAGTAGTATATTAGGTCCCTTTTGGAGCGAATGGGTGAGGCGGATGCGGATGCGGATGCGGAACAAAGGCTATATAGGAAAATACTCACCCAGCCTGGGACAACGACATATAGCAAAATACTCACCCACCTGGGTGAGTGGGTGAGCAGCCTGGCGCAATAACATATAGTAAAATACTCCCTGGGGGAGGTGGAGGTACATCGACATATAGCAAAATACTCACCCACCTGGGTGAGGGTGGGTGAGGGTGGGTGAGCAGCCTGGCGCAATGAGATATAGTAAAATACTCATCCACCCTAGGGTGGGGGATGCGGAGTAGGTCAGTAGGTCACCACCGGTGACCTTGTGACGGAATCAGCGGTGACCTTGTGACGTAATCAGTGACATTATGACGTAATCAGTGACCTAGTTACGTAATTTTAATGAGTTTTTCAATTAGTTTGAATTTAATTTTTAAATTTTAATTAATTTTTATTAACGAGTTACGTAATTTGATTATTTATTTTCTTTTTGACTATTTTTATTTTGTTTTTTAAATTTTAATTAATTTTAGTTTGATTTTAATTTTTTAAATTTTAAATTTTTTTAAATTTTTAAATTTTTAAAATTTTTAAAAATTTTTAAATTACTATTTTATTTTTTAAATTTTATTTTTTAATTGTTGTTAACTTGTTGTTTGTTTATTTTTTTAATTAGTTTAATTTTTTAAATTTTAATTTTGTAATTGTAATTTATTATTAACTAGTTACGTAATTTGGTTATTTGTTTGATTTTAATTGGTTTGATTTTAATTTGTTTGTTTAATTTGTTGGTTTGTTTATTTGATTGTATGTATGTTTAATAGTAAACCACGCCACCACCTGATGGTGGTGGAGAGGGGTGGTGGTGGTTGAGAGGGGTGTTAGTGGTGGATGAGAGGGGGGGTAATGGCGGGGGGTGGAGGAGAGTGTTACGCTAACGCCGACAAAAGTTCTTTGTGTATAACGATTAGCGACACCTGTTACTCATTAGCGACAGCTGTTACGTATCGACCGGCCTGTGAAGCTTCCCGGCGCTGCCCGTTTTTGAATGGGAATGTATTGGTCGACTCGCATCGAGCCCGTGTATCCATTAACCAACAGGCGACAGCTGATCCCCCACTTAGCGGTGGCTCTCGGCTTTTTTCATTACCTTGTTTTTTAAGTTTTCTGATACGCGTATGCTACACGTATACACACACACACACACACTAAAATGAGTGGTGGTGGTGGTGGATGAGAGGGTGAGTAATGGCGGGGGTGGAGGAGAGGGTTGCGCTAACGCCAACAAAAGTAGAAAGTTCTTTGTGTATAACATCCATTATCGACACCTGTTACTCGCTAATGACACCCGACACGTATCGATTCACCAGTGAAGTTTTCCGGCGCTGCCCGTTTTTGACGGGCACCGACCGGAGATTTATGGGTTTTCTCGGTCGCAGCCACTGGGCCAACAGACAACAGCTGTCCAACAGCTGGCGTCATACTTTTCACTAACAGTTATACGTACAGTGTCATGGGTTTTTAAGTTTTCTGGTACGAGTATGCTACAAGCATACACATTCATACAACACACACACACACACACTAAAATTAGAACAAAACTCTTCTTATATTTTATTTATTTATTTATTAACGTTTTTCAAAGTCATCAAAGGCTTTTAAAATATCACGGTGTAAACTTAACAAGTGTTCAACACATATTCGATTATAGTAACATGGGTGAGGGGTGTAAGCAGGCGGGTGAAGGGTGAACAGGTGGTTGAAGGGGGGAGCAGATAGGTGAAGGGGGAGCAGGAGTAGGAGTAAAGGATATATAGTAAAAGATATAGTAAAAGATTCCACCACCTAAGTGAGGTGGGTGAGGAGGTTATTTTTTCATCATCTGTTAACTTTAAGGTTCTATAACTCTATATATTTAAATACATTTTTTGATTCAACCGAGTTTACTTTTCCTAACGTAAGTACATGTAAAGAGGGGTTTCCTATAGATCTGTAATGAATTAGGCCTTTTTGACTATGACTTGTTGCCCAGGTGTTGACATGATACGCTTTTTTTACTGACCTACTCCGCATCCCCCACCCTAGGGTGGATGAGTATTTTACTATATCTCATTGCGCCAGGCTGCGCCACCTGCTCACCCACCCTCACCCAGGTGGGTGAGTATTTTGCTATATGTCGATGTACCTCCACCTCCCCCAGGGAGTATTTTACTATATGTTATTGCGCCAGGCTGCTCACCCACAGACCCAGGTGGGTGAGTATTTTGCTATATGTCGTTGTCCCAGGCTGGGTGAGTATTTTCCTATATAGCCTTTGTTCCGCATCCGCATCCGCATCCGCCTCACCCATTCGCTCCAAAAGGGACCTAATATACTACTAGTGTGACTATAACAATAAATAGACTGCACCAAAGCCAGTTTGTAGACGTCTGTATTAGTTTTTGTTTTAAAATTATGTTTAACTAGCTGAACTAGTTATTTTAAAAAGAAATGTGTTTCATTTTTTATACAATTGTTTATGTAAAATAAAGCAAATACGTGCCAAGCACCACCTAGCGTCGACCATGGCCAGTTTACCTGCGGCTCTGATGGCTACAACTATTTATCTACCTGCTACCTGTCGTGTAGTGCTGGGTATGTCATTGAAAGAGACAATTCTATCAGGTGCCAGACAAGTAAGCAATGGACATCTGCAGGAAGTTGCATAGGTAAATTGCTCAATCTAGCAGATATTTCAACCAATGATAGAAACCTAACAATGTGGAAGCCACATTTTCGTATCATCGATACTAAAGGTCAAGCGTATTTTAATAATGAAATTGTGTATTTTCTAAAGAATAATTTTTGAAAAAAATATAACATTTATATTAGTACAAACAGTATGAATTACCAATATAAAAACATTTAAATGCTAAAAAATATAAGATTCGTTAAATAGTTGACGTGGAGCCACCCAGACTGGACTGTGGACCAAACATCACAGCATTTGCTGGGCCAAAGCTGGGTAAGACAAGCGTGACATGGACACCTGTAAATGCTACAGACAACTCCCGGGCGGATGTTCGTGTTGAGAGTGATCTACCTTCAGGGTATCTCTTCGAGGTGGGCCAAACAGATGTACATTTTACGGCAAGAGATGCAAGTGGAAATATAGGAAGATGTACGAAATTTATCACCGTCACAGGTAAAACATATGTTTTTTATTTACATAGTTAACGCATAGAATGAAGATCACGAATTTTGCTACAAATAAGTTGTAATAATATATTACTGTACACCAGTCAAAAGATGCCCGAACTACCAGCCCATCGAAAACGCTAACGTCAGCTGTTCTCACGCCAATGCCTACGGGTCAGAGTGTGTATCTGTGTGTAACCAAGGTTACCAGATGGTCGGTGCTGATTCTCAGACGTGCCAAGAAAACCAGACGTGGAGTGGATCGAAACCAGCTTGCAATTGTAAAATCCTTTATTTTTACTATATTTAAGTATTATTTAATAAATAAGGTACTTCCATTCCAATCTTTGATAAGAGGCAACACTCATTTATTCTGTTTGTATACCTGCATTGACAGCCTTTTTGATTAGACTCGTTTTGTAACTACATACTCTATAATATAATATGCACATTAAACATTGTCTACACAAAAATAAAACGATTTCTGATACAGCTTTAATGAATATTGTTAACTATAAAAGTCGCATCATTCCGTGCACGTCATAGTCACTCCTTTTAGTATAAATAAAAATGTCCAGGTGACACGAGTTCAGGGAACGCGTTCCATGGTTATACCGGAAATGATAGGGAAGTGTGTGTTATCGTCTTCTTATAGACTAGCTTCACCAAGAAAGTACTGAGGGAGGGACAAAAGAAAACATAACGATAGATATAGAAATTAATTTCAGTTGCGATTAGTTTAAAAAGGAAATGTGCGAATTGTCTTCTCTCTTTAAATCTACATTTGCGCTGGGTGACTTATTACTTAGGTTTTCAAAGTAGTCAGTTATTATTTCATCGTTAGAGTTCATTGCATGTACATTATATTTAAAGTCATGTTTGAATTGAATAAGATATTTTGGTATATTCAGTTCAATTTAAAGGTCAGTAAAAAAATTGTCACCTGATACGGCTAGATTTGTCCTGCACATTATTTTAAAAATTTGCCTAATTTATTGATAGTTTGCTAAACATTCAGTTTTTTAATGATATACAGCGAGAGAATGCGGCAACCCACCATTCGTTGCACACGGAAACTATTCTTGTCCGTCTGGACTAAGATACAAAAACCTCTGCTCATTGAACTGCAGTGCAGGATATCTACCGGTCACTCCAACTACTATCGTCTGCAAAAGTGACCAACAGTGGTCACAAGCTGGTTCATGCGTAGGTAAATACAAATACACGTGTAACTTTCAATCAATTTAATAGTTGAGAGTATTGTTGGAAAATAAGTTCGGAATTTTAAATAAATAATAAAAATTAAATCCGGTCGATTTTGTTTGGGTCGGTAAAACCATGGCTGCAAAACAGAAAAATCCAGCGTTTGAACCACCAGGTAGAAGAAGCTCTATTGCTGTGGACAGCAACACATCTAGGAGAGACAGCTCCAGAATCAAACATCTGCTTAGTTACAGTTTGTTCTTTAATGAACAAAGGCTATGGAAGAAATAAATTCTAGAAAGAAAAGCAGGCTTAAATCAGAGTCAACAGGCTAGTTGTCACGAAATACCTAATTGCCTTGTAGAAAATCCGTTCCAATAATACAATTAACAATTCAGAAGAAGTATAAAAAGTAAGTTGCCCGTCACATTATAAAAAAAAATTATTGCAGATATTGAGGCACCTCAGTTTACAAAAGGCTGTACACGAGACTTTGAAGTTATCGCCGCGGCTGTTCGTCAACGCAACTATGTGAGATTCACATTGCCAGAAGCTGTGGATAACTCTGGCGAAGGGGTTGTCATCACATCCAACCCTATCTCCGGGTCTGATTTCCCACTTGGAGCAAGTCGGGTTGTAGTTTCGGCAACAGACTCTACTGGAAACCAAGACAACTGCTCCTTCTCTATAACAGTTAAATGTAAGAGACAGCAATTTACTGATTTTAAACACAGGCATAAATTAAGTATTATTTTGAATCTTTGCAGATAGTCTACCACTTTTAGATCTATAATATATATATATATATATATATATATATATATATATATATATATATATATATATATAAACATTATACGTATATTATAATACTTGTATTTAAAATGCAATTGTAGCTATTTCGTGTGATGCCCCGAATGTGAACACATCGGCAAAAAATGTGATCGTATACGACTGCCCTGATCAATTTGTCTACGGAGCCTCGTGTTTGATGCACTGCTCTAATGGTGACCAAATTATAGGGTCAAATAGAATGACGTGTGATAAAACAAGAAACTCCACACAACTAGACTGGAAAATAGATGGCAATTCTTTTCCATTTTGCAATCGTAATGATTTTTTTACACTTCACTGAATGTATTTGCTTGTGTCCGAATCGATTTAAGCATGTATCAGATATAATATTGCACTATTAATTGTTGTAAAAACAATCTTGTAAAACTATTCTTACAGCACACTCTTGCAGCAAATTAAATTCTCCCGACAACGGTGCTTTGGCTTGTAACACATCGGACGGTGCAAGTGAAGTGTGCATCGTAATGTGCAATGACCAATACACGTATCCCTACCAAACACCTTTTAAGTTCAGCTGCAGTAAACGAACCGGGACATGGCTGCCAAATAACACAGTGCAAAGTTGCGGCAGTAAGTTTGATTATGACTAAGTACCCATAGCTTCTTTTAATACTATAAGCTGTCAATGCAAATTTACATTAGGAATAGAATGTGAAGTGAGTAAAAGATAATTTATTAAAATATGTTTAGAAAAACGGAAACCAATAGCTGTAACAACAGAACTGCAATTTTACTACTACACTGGAAGCTGCAGTAATGACAGTGCAACCATTAAAGACAAGTTTCTTCAGACTTTAGGAGTTTCTATTTTGAGGGATGCTTGTTCCGAAGATTCACCTTGCTCTGTTGACACTGTGGAGTTGTCTTGTGGTGCAGTTGTTCGTAGAAAGAGAAGGGACACGAGTAACGTTACTTTTGAATTTAAGGTTTATTATGCTTTTATTTTATCAAAATTTTTGTTTTGTTCTATTTTCTTTTCTTTACCGGAAAAGATTATTTTTCGATGTTTGTTTCAAATTTTTAAAATGGAGAAGAAAACTAAAATGGACACATTTTATTTTCACCTACTCGGTCGCTATACAATTTATATGCTTCTCTCGGCAAACCCTTGGCCTAATTTATACTCGTTTATCCACTATTTAACAACGACTGTTTAATCATTTGCAAGCCGATACTGCTTTTCTGTACTTAGTTTTAAGCTTAAGGAAATTTTTTAATAAGATAAAACAAAACTTATATTTAAATGTGTATTTGTTATTTTTGCCGTTGGTAAAGTTAGCGAATCGGTTTAATTAAAAAAAACTAGCTCTAAAAATAACATAACATTCGCTTTAGACCTAGCTTAAGATATTCATAAATTGTTACTTATGGTATCCAAAAAGAAAATCCTAAGCAACAACCGCTTCTGGAATTGTTATATATGAATTTGTTTTGAGTAGATTTCTGTAGTCATCAATATTGGTGAGTACAAGGACTTGGGCGATGATGAAAAAACTTCCAAATACTATGACGATATTGTGATGGGCATCAATGCCAAGATTCAAACCAAAGCCGATGCAGGTCTCCTGAATATACAAAGTATCGGCACTTTAAACAAGATTGAATATGGTCAAGTTGGACTTAAGTGTGAACCAGGGACTAAAATGGCGCAGAGATTAATGGCATGCGGTACATACAAATTGTTTTAGCATAAAAGTAATTATACTATAATTACACATTGTTTTAACTACTAGATACAATACTTATGTTTATGTTACTAAAAATATTGCAAAACATTTTATTTTTATTTTTTAACATTTAATTATATATAATTAAATGTAGAAATGTGTTGCTGCGATGAATTGCGTAAAAATTACTGATTACACAATTAAGGAAACTTACAAATATAATTGAATTTCTACCAATAATTCGTCACTATATTACCGTATAGTTACAGTAACGTTGAAAAAAATCCTAATTAAAAAAGCTACTATTTACAATGCATTAATAATTCTGGTAAGTTTTTGAAGTCGTTACACTACTATTTTCAGCGGGATGTGGAGCGGGCTACATGTTCATTAACGAAACTGAATCTTGCCAGGCGTGTCCTGTAGGGACATATCAGGAGCAGGACGTTGCTTTTTCATGCACGTCTTGTCCTGATGGTCAAACGACAAAGGACCAAGGCTCTACAGCTCTCACCAAGTGTTTGGGTAATGAAAAATATATCCATTGCTATTGATTATTAATCAGTATACTTTCAGTTAATATTATATTTAATATTTATTTATTTTATATTATTATAAATTTATATTCATGAATTTATTATTATAAATTTATATTATTATAAATGATTTATTTTTATATAATATATATTTAAAAATAAGAAGATTTTATCTTTGTGTTTAAAAAAAGATAAGACATAACACGATTTTTTTCTAATCGCTAATGATTTAAATCACTTGAAACAAAAAAAAATGTTTAGAAAAAATATATCTTACTATTGATTTTTTAATAATTATTCTAAGTTTATTTACCATAATTAATATTCAAATGATGAGTATTTTAATTATATATTACAGTAACTACAATTAAAAATGTCGAATGCCAATAGTTTACTTTGTTTTTAAAGACATCGTTGTCTTTTCCAGATTCAAAACAACACTATTCGTTTAAATCAGAAGTCATAGAAGAGATATAGTTTATACATTTTTGTTTTTAAATTTACAGATACAGAACCCAATATAGTCTTAATATCTGCTGCAATATCAGCAGGTGCCTGTTGTGTCCTTATCACCTTATTTCTGACATTCTTTATATATAAAAGGTAATAATTGATAAAGTGCATATTCTAAATTTAGAAAAAAAAACAACGTATATTAGATTGGCTTTTGCTTTACACTGATTCAGAATTTAAAAAAATACTTATATAATTTTATTTTACATTTATTGTGGAAATATGAGAACATTTATTTCTTGGTTTAATGTAATTTTCTTTGTTCTTCTATCATCCTACAGAATGCGGAAAAGGAGTATAAAAACCTGAATGAAAATGATATCAATTTGTACACTTACTTATTTATGTAAGAAATAAGTAATTACATTTATTTAAATATTAAGTACATATAGCTAATTTACTTCTTTATCATCTATGCCAATTCTTCTTATAACCAACTTTTACAATTTTAAAATAAAAATATTGCCAAAGAACTTATTTCTACCTGTTTAAAGAATCAAGTATTTGTGTATAAATAACAAGCAGCAATTGTTAAGGCTACTCTCAAATCACAAATACGTAGGCGTTTACTTGATTCTTAAATTTAACTTACATATAACCAGCAGTTCATCGACATCATCATAGTCTCGACTAATAGAAAGCTTTTGACAGTGTAGATCAAACGTGTTAATGAACACAATATAAGCTTAAAATCTAGGACCCCTATTACAAAACAACAGTGCACAAGCGTATTCACACACATAAATCAGTTAGACAATATTGTCCTATATCTCAAGTACTATACATCCTTAGCCTAGAACCCCTACTAGAAAACCTTAGACATGATATCTCTATGAAGAGACCTCATACACTACAGGCAAGAAACTGCTTGCATACGCGGAAGACACAATTTTCTGAGCATGAACAGAAAAAGCAATTCAGCCTACGGTAGGAAAATTCGGTTCCCAGAAAGATGAGGAAAGGAAAAGTGCGCAACGGGAAAAGCGCAAACAGAAAAATACGCAAGTAGAAATTTGCGCACAGAAAAAGGTACAACAGAAAAATGCGCACACAGAAAAATATGCAAAACAGAAAAATGCACACACCTTAAAATTCAAAATCTTGGATAAAGTATGCTGAGGCAAATTAGAAGCAGAAAAAATTGGTTAGTGAAAAGGTAAAGATAAATAAAGCATATACATCACAATAACAGACAAACTCAGAATTTACAGGATAACCTATACCAGTGGCTCTATGAAAGATGATAAAGAAACGTGGACCATAATGAACAATAAAAGAAAGCAAAATCTGTAGAAAAAAACAATGCTATACAACCATCTTTAATAGAGCACTAGTTAACAAGTACATCAGTCCAAAATGATTTTTGGAACAGCAAACTCTACAATACCCAACTCATTTATTAAACAAACAAACAAGCAGATTAGAGAGTTATTTAAAAAAAACCAATCATAATCATTAGCCACTAAAATACAAAACAAATTAAATGGAGGCGATGGGCTGCATGATATACATACCGAAGAAAAACAACACTTTCTTATGAAAAGACCTATTTAGAATCAGCATAGAACCACATTAAGATCCATTAACACAATATTACGCAAGGTTAACAATAAAGAACCGTCTAAAATTAAACATCACTACACCATACTATTCGGGAAACGACATAGGCAGCTTTTATAAGAAACGATAGAAACAAAGCACTATTGTGGAAGACACAAAAAAAAATACACGACATCCTAATTAAACAAAAATTGACATCTACACAACAATAATTAGTTGGTTCAGGAACTCAATATAATAATAATACAGATACATTTAGAAACTCTACAATAAATGCATTGCACCAAATTAAAAAGAAGTAGAATGCAGACTGATCCTTAACACAACATCAGTTTCCATCAATAACGTCAAATTAACAATTAATTATTTTAATGCAATTATATGCTGTTTTACGCTCCTCATTTAATAAATATATACACTTCGAAATTGCATAAAACTACCAAATAATTGTTTTTAGTGTTTAAAATAAACTTTGTACGAGGACATCTACTCTATATAGTTGTTTGAAAGAGAAGGATGTTACAATTTTTTTGGTGTCTCATTTTCCTCTCAATAATTTACAGCTTTTCTTTGTAGACCCAAAATAATTCCAGTTCTAGTTATACGTCCATGCTTCCTACCCATCCCCCAATCCAACAAACCAAACTCTTTACAGTACATTGAGTCATCATTTTAACAATATTTTAATTTTCAGGTAAAAAAACAATAAATTTTTTGTGTGTGTTAAGAACAAGTAAACAATTTTCAATAAAAGAAGTAAAGAAAGAAATAGTACAATTGCTTAAATGTGTAAGACAACATAACGCACTCACAATATACTCATATAAAATAGAAAAATATAAGCCATCAGTACATATTAATATTTCAATGATATGTACAGGATCGCAAATAATAAAGGAAGCCTAACGCATTGTAAAGAATTTGATAAATACACATACAACGAAAAGTCAACCTACATTTACACAGAAAATAGTTAAGGTTAAGGTTAAGGTTAAGGTTTAGCTAAATTAACAAATATGTATTATTAACCTTAACCTTAACCTTAACCTTAACCTTAACCTTAACCTTAACCTTAACCTTAACCTTAACCTTAACCTTAACCTTAACCTTAACCTTAACCTTAACCTTAACCTTAACCTTAACCTTAACCTTAACCTTAACCTTAACCTTAACCTTAACCTTAACCTTAACCTTAACCTTAACCTTAACCTTAACCTTAACCTTAACCTTAACCTTAACCTTAACCTTAACCTTAACCTTAACCTTAACCTTAACCTTAACCTTAACCTTAACCTTAACCTTAACCTTAACCTTAACCTTAACCTTAACCTTAACCTTAACCTTAACCTTAACCTTAACCTTAACCTTAACCTTAACCTTAACCTTAACCTTAACCTTAACCTTAACCTTAACCTTAACCTTAACCTTAACCTTAACCTTAACCTTAACCTTAACCTTAACCTTAACCTTAACCTTAACCTTAACCTTAACCTTAACCTTAACCTTAACCTTAACCTTAACCTTAACCTTAACCTTAACCTTAACCTTAACCTTAACCTTAACCTTAACCTTAACCTTAACCTTAACCTTAACCTTAACCTTAACCTTAACCTTAACCTTAACCTTAACCTTAACCTTAACCTTAACCTTAACCTTAACCTTAACCTTAACCTTAACCTTAACCTTAACCTTAACCTTAACCTTAACCTTAACCTTAACCTTAACCTTAACCTTAACCTTAACCTTAACCTTAACCTTAACCTTAACCTTAACCTTAACCTTAACCATAACCATAACCATAACCTTAACCTTAACCTTAACCTTAACCTTAACCTTAACCTTAACCTTAACCTTAACCTTAACCTTAACCTTAACATTAACCTTAACCTTAACCTTAACCTTAACCTGAACCTGAACCTGAACCTGAACCTGAACCTTAACCATAACCTTAACCTTAACCTTAACCTTAACCTTAACCTTAACCTTAACCTTAACCTTAACCTTAACCTTAACCTTAACCTTAACCTTAACCTTAACCTTAACCTTAACCTTAACCTTAACCTTAACCTTAACCTTAACCTTAACCTTAACCTTAACCTTAACCTTAACCTTAACCTTAACCTTAACCTTAACCTTAACCTTAACCTTAACCTTAACCTTAACCTTAACCTTAACCTTAACCTTAACCTTAACCTTAACCTTAACCTTAACCTTAACCTTAACCTTAACCTTAACCTTAACCTTAACCTGAACCTGAACCTGAACCTGAACCTGAACCTGAACCTGAACCATAACCTTAACCTTAACCTTAACCTTAACCTTAACCTTAACCTTAACCTTAACCTTAACCTTAACCTTAACCTTAACCTTAACCTTAACCTTAACCTTAACCTTAACCTTAACCTTAACCTTAACCTTAACCTTAACCTTAACCTTAACCTTAACCTTAACCTTAACCTTAACCTTAACCTTAACCTTAACCTGAACCTGAACCTGAACCTGAACCTGAACCTGAACCTGAACCTGAACCTGAACCTGAACCTGAACCTGAACCTGAACCTGAACCATAACCTTAACCTTAACCTTAACCTTAACCTTAACCTTAACCTTAACCTTAACCTTAACCTTAACCTTAACCTTAACCTTAACCTTAACCTTAACCTTAACCTTAACCTTAACCTTAACCTTAACCTTAACCTTAACCTTAACCTTAACCTTAACCTTAACCTTAACCTTAACCTTAACCTTAACCTTAACCTTAACCTTAACCTTAACCTTAACCTTAACCTTAACCTTAACCTTAACCTTAACCTTAACCTTAACCTTAACCTTAACCTTAACCTTAACCTTAACCTTAACCTTAACCTTAACCTTAACCTTAACCTTAACCTTAACCTTAACCTTAACCTTAACCTTAACCTTAACCTTAACCTTAACCTCAACCTCAACCTCAACCTCAACCTCAACCTCAACCTCAACCTCAACCTCAACCTCAACCTCAACCTCAACCTCAACCTCAACCTCAACCTTAACCTTAACCTTAACCTTAACCTTAACCTTAACCTTAACCTTAACCTTAACCTTAACCTTAACCTTAACCTTAACCTTAACCTTAACCTTAACCTTAACCTTAACCTTAACCTTAACCTTAACCTTAACCTTAACCTTAACCTTAACCTTAACCTTAACCTTAACCTTAACCTTAACCTTAACCTTAACCTTAACCTTAACCTTAACCTTAACCTTAACCTTAACCTTAACCTTAACCTTAACCTTAACCTTAACCTTAACCTTAACCTTAACCTTAACCTTAACCTTAACCTTAACCTTAACCTTAACCTTAACCTTAACCTTAACCTTAACCTTAACCTTAACCTTAACCTTAACCTTAACCTTAACCTTAACCTTAACCTTAACCTTAACCTTAACCTTAACCTTAACCTTAACCTTAACCTTAACCTTAACCTTAACCTTAACCTTAACCTTAACCTTAACCTTAACCTTAACCTTAACCTTAACCTTAACCTTAACCTTAACCTTAACCTTAACCTTAACCTTAACCTTAACCTTAACCTTAACCTTAACCTTAACCTTAACCTTAACCTTAACCTTAACCTTAACCTTAACCTTAACCTTAACCTTAACCTTAACATTGTAAGGACGTGCCACACTAAGCCAAGGGTGTATCTACAATAACAAATCATGGCAAGATGCCAGAGAAAGAAGACGGGGAAAACAAAGACGACATTCGAAGGGGGACATGAATGAGTAGACTGGGCTGCCCGTTGCGGAATTACTTAAATCGGCAGAAAATTATGAGAACATCAACTGAGATGTCCCAACGATCAGAGGGGTT